GGACAATGTTGATTCTTAGTAACTTACTGACAGCCATTTACAAACAAGCATTTACTGACAAGCATCTTACAAATACTATTTGTTTTTTCCCGTGATTCAACACAATTATGTATGATTTCATTATAATACATTAGGAAGCATAGTAATTCTGTACACCAAAGTAATTTATTGTTGTCATACTTGAGATATCTGCGGAGAATGAGGTGATGTATAAGGAGATGGTCACATTCCACTACTTCTCCCTGTTGAGGATTTGCTGCCGTTTTTACTGATGCAGAGGTTCCATTAGCTATTTTTTTAAAGCAAATTTGCATTGTATTTTTCTTTTATTTAACTGAATTGTGATACACAAGCTCAGTGATACCCTGCCATGGGTAAAGCAAGTAAAGGAACAACGTATTCAAATTTACACATGACCAGCCTATAATTCCATGAACCATGACACCAAAGCTCAAGTGGTTTCTTTTTGACTCCAGAATGCCAACATGGAATAACCACCCTGTTTTATGTCTATATTATATGTAGATTAAAACAAATGTCTATTGTCTTCCTCCTGTATACAAGATCCCCTCGTCTCTTGACCCTCCTTCACACTTGTTTCTTATCCTTCTGTTATTTCCCTAAAAAGCAGCTCCTTACGCCATACAATATTCAATATACAAGGTCTAAGTATTGGATTCAAGCCAACCTTTACTCATAGCTCTTTTCATTGCAATTCCTTACTCCTGGCACACTCATATAGGGACTGATCCAACATGCTCTGATAACAATGGGAGTCTTGCCATTAACATCAATGGGCTGTGGATCAGACCAGTAGGCTTCAAAATTCTTCTTGTTGCCTGCACCTTAGAAAAGATTTGCCTGCTGTTAGGAAATCATGTTGTGACGCGGGTGTGGCAGATTCTCTTTTACTGAAGCTGTGTGCAAGCCTGCAGCGAGATAGTACTTTGGCATTTTCCCAAGAAATAAGATGACAGCTTTGCACTTCTGCAGCACATCTCATCCAAGGAATTTTCAAACATGATCTAAGCTTCACCCTACCTTTGTGAGACCAGTAACACTAATACCCACACAATTCAGGCTTAACTTCTGTGACTCAATGATTAAAACAGCCAGCCAGTTGTAGTGTATTTATAAGGGCATGAGGTGCACGTGAGACCTGCAGAAAACCAGGGAGTCAGACTGGCAGACTTTGAAATTTGCATTCAGGGTTGAGCAATTTTCAAAGCCTACTTGGCCAGTTCATCCAGTTAGGGAGAGCACCATCCAGCTTTCCCATCTGGCGAGCTCAGCAGCTCTGCTCCTGCAGAATTCAGGAACACCACAGCATCCGAGATTCGGTCAGACCTCTGGAAACGTCAGCCCTTCAACTAGCTGTGCATGTTGATTAACCAGAGTTCAGAAAATTTAGGTTTGACCCTGCTGTGCTGTTTACAGATTATGGTTTAAAAGATGCTGTTCTCTGTATTCAGTTTATTTGACATTCTATTTAACTTGCTTCTGTTTTCACTTTAGCACCAAAGCCTTGACTTGCCCTCTAATTTTCCCCTTTGCTTTCTATTTCTCATGACAGCGACAAGCTATGGGTTACATCCCATAGTGCTTGCCCTGTTGTCCTTCGGAGAACACTGGTGGGGCAGGAAGGAAAGATATGCAGATGTAGTAATCATCAGATTCCATATGTATCAGACCTGGAGTATGATCATCTTATTAACAACCAGATGTCTGCCCTGGAACAAATCATGGTGATCTGTGTGTCTTCTTCATTGAAAACAAATGGGGATCCAAGTGAAGACAAATTAGAGCAGCTCCACGAGAGGAAGAACAGGAACAGAAGTATGCCATGTATTCAGGTGGGTTTCATGGGAGTTTAGCACATTTGAAAATAGTTTTTTAATAAACAACCCTTGGATCCATTTGCTGTTTATCCTATCATCAAAATCTGGACAGTACTCTCACCATTTGTGTACTCAATACATTTACATGGCTAGGAGAATATAGAATAGTAAATTAATATAAAGATTTTCTCTTCACATTTATGGGGTCAAGTTTAGTATGGTATAAGGCAGGGGTTCTCCTTTTTCTTTCTGAGGCGCCCCCCCAACATATTATAAAACCCCCCACAGCCCACCTGTGCCACAACAAATGTTTTTCTGCATAGCCAATAGATTAAACGCCCAAGGCAGGCATTAAGGGGGTAGCAAGCAAGGTAACTGCCTATGGCCCCACACCACAGGGCACCCTGCGAAGCTGAGTTGGTTGGGCTTTGGCATCAGTCCTGGGCAGCTTGGGCTTCATGCCCTGAGCCCCATGGAGTCTTAACACTGGCCCTGCTCTTCGGTTTATTTTGGTGGACCCCCTGAAACCGGCTCGCTGTCCCCCAGGGGACCCCAGACCCCTAGTTGAGAACTGCTGGTGTAAGGTACATATCACAAAGTGGGCACGAGCAACTATGTTGATGAAACTTATGTACACAGGGACTGGAACAAGATGTAAGTTAAAAGTTGGAGACAATAGTGCATGGTGGTTACTTTAACTTACCCACTTTTATTGCTGTGTTTTTTGTGTCATTTTTCTCCAAGTCTCTAGGGCCTTGTCTGCACTGAGGATTTCCTGATTTTTTTCCTCAGCAATGCTGGGAATGGAGCACTAGCAGAAATCTGATCCAGATGTTTCTATCATCATGTTATCTAGTCTTAGATGGCATGATGATAAAAATAAATGCCAGTGGCTGAGCTACACTAATGCTTCCCACCATTACTAGCATTGCTGAAGCTGTTGGAACAAGGTTGGGAGGATTTCAGAACATCCCACATAGTTGCTGCCTTGATTGATGTGTACATAACACCAGTTTAAGCACCTGAACAGGTCCTTACAGATGTGTAACTTATAACCCCTCAGAAATCGGCCCCATAGTATATATCAATTTAAATTAATCTATGTTTGGAAAAAATAGAATATAAGGGGTGAAATCCTGGTCCCATTGAAGTCAATAGGAGAACTCCCTTTGACTTCAGTGCGGCCAGGATTTTCATCCAAGAAGTTTAAAAGTGGAGGCTGGATCAAAAACAAATTTAATACCTGCAGGCTGCAAAGAGGAGTAGAACTAGCCCCACTCTTAAGTGTCTGCTAAGAATTTCATGTCAGGGTAAGTGCCATGCATGTGGTTCCACATAAAAGAGAGGGAAGGAGAGGCTCCTGGGAACAGGCGTATTCATGTGTGCATATTGCTCTTCCCTTCTGGAGACCTGGGTTCAAATCCCACTTGAGTCACGAGTAAAAATGGGGTTTCGTGTTTTCTATCCTAGTCCTCGGATATTTGTCCACTTCATAAAACCCTATATTCCAGCCTTCTAG